AACAGATAGCCTGATCCTAGAGAGACACCGTGCTACTGACTACGCTGCAATGCAGGAACACGTGCCTAGTACTGTATAAGTTTCATATTAGACATCATAAAGGGCTCAACATTTGTTATCTGGTTATACATTGTTCTATTGGTTCTACTTATTTATGACTGTACGCAAAAAAAGTACGTGACATTGCGCACTTAAATCGAAATTTTGCCTAAATATCACAAAATTATAACAATATTTCAAAACTATAGTATTTTTACTGCTTATTTCGCAGTGTTATGATGTTACTTATATAACCTAGAGATTGATATAAACAGAATAGAGGATACCAATATTTGCGGAAAACGACAACAATCCCGTTTACAGTTTTTTTTTTTTGCTTGAATATCTGGTGTTAGAAGCTGAAGTTTTGTGTATAATATATTTCCCACAACATATAGTTTATATATATATATATATATATATATATATATATATATAATGGCAATGTAATACGATATTTCATACAACTTATATTCTATGTATAAGCAAATGTATAATATCTCTGTACCAAAGACAATGAGTGCACTAAACTTAGTGACCTTTACACCACGGAAGTTCAACTGTGTGACTCAGTTCGTACAGTGCAGTGCAACGGAAAAAAACTAAGCAAACACTTTGTCGTAATCTTCCTGTTCTTTAGTGACGTCTCTGGTTCTTTCTACGTATAAAGATATAAATCTAATCTTAAATGCAGCTCTCTCAATATCGATTTTCCGCCATTAAAAATATGGCGTAATTCCCAAAACTGACATATCAATCTTATGAGAAGAAAAAGTATAATCAAATATTTTTGACAAATAACATCAGCGAATTCCATCAATTATGAACCGAACATGAAGGTTTAGCGACAGCGAAGTGCATAGAGATTTGAGACGAGAATACGACGAGAAAGTGCTCTGACAGAATAAAAGATGCCTGCCTTCAAAAAACTACTGCACAGTAATTACATTCGCATTCTAAGGGAATGGAAAACTTGATTATCGGAAGAAGTAGCAATGGTAGCTGGTAATGGAACCTTTTCTTTCTTTCTGTAATTAATTACGTCAAAAATTGAAGGTTTCGTTGCGAGACGTCTTGCATAAATCCGGACAGAGTGGAATTAACTAGCAATGGATTAGAATTAGGTACTAAAAGTGGTAATACCTTTATCATTGTCAATAGCATGAGGTACAAGTAAATACCAAACTTGGAGCTGCTTTGAAAAAATGACAATTTTTTTGACCATCACAATAGCTAATGAGCTGAAATGTTTGCAGATTTAAAGAAGAAACTCCGCTACATTACTCATCTTAAGCTCCTCGTTATCAAGTACGTCAAATGCCGAAATTCTCAGAAAAAGATGTATATAAATCACGTTTGCAAAAATCGGACTTTCATAATGTCAGTGCAAGTGCAACAACCTTCAGCCAGTGCGCCGGACAGGGCGGCGATCCACTTGATGGTATCTCGTTTGTTCCTTTGCTCTCGTGTTTAAATTGCGATCATTAATGAAGTTGAACGGAAAATGCACCTCAAACTCAAGAATATGGGAGTTCAATATGGGTAGATTGTGGGAACGTGCACTTCAAGATTCATGTCGTAGTCAATAATTTAAGTATGAAAGCCGCCATTTGACTCAGCGTTCTTTCATACCAATGTCAATTAGCAAAGGATATTTCACTAATGAACCTTTTTTTCTAAATGGCTGTACATATCGAGTGAACCCGCTGTAAAACGAGCGTGCCAGTGGGGAATGAGCGGGTGAGTGAATGAGTGTCGGAACAAGTTGCTTATCCGACGAGGTTTTCTACAAATTGTCGTGAAGATAGACCGGTCTTTTACTGTATAGCCAGCTCGAAATGTTTGGCGTGTAAATGTGTTTGATGATGTAGAACTATTCCAACAACCAAAACTGGTCACTTCAAACAGCTAACTAGATTGTAGACTGTACATTACGGTCTGGACAAGAGTCAAAAGAAGAGGACTATAAATTTTTACTATCAAATATTCCAAGAAATAATAATGGCAATAACAGTAGAATGTATTTTTTGCGTCCTAAACTGAGCAAACATAAAAAGGCAGCATATTGGAGTTACTGTTCCAATCCAGTTGTCTTGTCGGCAGGTGAAGGGCGGCGTTCTAAGTTGCTCGCATAAGTGACACCGATGTCTGAAATTGTACCATCCGAACTTCGTCGAAGAGATAGTTAGGTAGTGTTCATAAACCGGCATAGAAGTGAAATGTAGTTGAACTATTAAAGGTTAAAAATTTCACAGATCTTTAACACATGCGAATGCTAACCGCATGTCAAGGATTCTAAGACACACCTGCATTCCTATGAACCAGAAAAATTCCATCAATTGTGAACTATAAGTGACTATAAAAAATTTGTCAATACATGTACGCTATATTTTGGAACGGTTCACTTCCCATGCTCCTTCAATTCATTCAATTAATTCATTTAACTAAAAAGCTACAAAAAATGGGAATGTGAACACGCTGAAAATGCAGTATTAGAATTCTGTCATTTTGTAGTACACATCGATTACTGTAGCTAATATTGTATTTTTGAGGTCAAGTACTACTTATGCTAAGCAAAGCCCCAAAGAGTGCTGTTATTCACGAGGTGCCGTAACATTGAACTGTTAAAAGTTTTTTTTTTCAAAATTCTGACACTTCTCGTGTCGTTTAGGGTTATTGACACGAAGTAAAAAGAAATTTCTACGATTTTTGAAATTCTTAATGATCCGGCATCAAAGACGGCTCTTGCTTAAACATTTTTTACTGGGATTTTCCAGTATTTGGATGAGCCTACTCCCCTGACATTTAAAAATAGCCAATTTCCGGCCCAGATCACGCAGTCGCCAGTTATCGTAAAGTTCTGTTGAAAGAGAGGTGACACCACCAAAATGCGCCACCACTTTTCCGACTAGGGAACGATCGGTGAGCTGGGTTAACACGGTAAAGGGGGCAAACAGGGATCCTGCACATACTGATCGATATTACTGCTACTGCTCTACTCCCGTCCTCATATTTGCCGCAAAAGGGGAACGACTTTTCTTAGATATGAAAGGTTGAGAAGGAGATTTTGTAACGCACTCAAGATCGTCATGGTTCCTGCATAATATGGAAAGCGCATAAGTGTACAAGACGGCCAAGTCATGGTTTATCGGCGATTAAGCTAAAGTCATTCTACAGAGTGATCGTAACCTTGAAGCTGTACAACATCGATAGAATCACTTAAAAGTTTATTCGTGAAATCGAATATATAAGCAAAAAAAGAAAACAATGTATGAAATACTTTGCAGTTTTATGGTTGGAAACAATGCTCTTTGTCATCAAGCAACATTTCAACTATTTCAAATAAGCATGACGCTCTGTCAACAGAAAAACTGTACTTACTTGTGCGAGACTTCACCATTCAGAAAGCCAGTGTGACTTGTCTACGTAAAAACTTTTGCTGGATTAGCGATGCCAAGTAGTTTAATGAGATTGTCTTGATATCCCACTCCTTATCGGATCGCGCTCACAACTACTCCCAAAGATTTCATCGTGTTTCAGCTATAGAAGATTGTGGCATAACTATTTGGGCGTGTTGGACTGTCGCTCGAACGCAAAACCTATTAGATCAAAACCAGTAAGGCTACTCGTTGATTGAGAATGAATTCACACACAATAATAGGTCAACCCTTTTAGGACCAGCACTGAAAGGTTCTAAAAGGGCTGGCGATCAAACAGGCGGCTCTGCATCTTGTGCATGCATGTTTGGCTGTCTGCCGGTTTACCACGAGACACGACGTCGCTATTACAGCAGCTGAGTGAGATGTGACACCGTGCGGCGAATATCAAATCACTCTCATGGTCCTTAGAGGGTTAAAAAGCCGTTTAATTCTGATACATTCAACACTCGTGCAACGACACCTATATTTGGTTTTCCTGCATAGAGGACGGTACCCACATTTCTGTACTGCTAGCTGAATAACCTACGCACATCACATTCCACTCCAGTAGCTTTTAGTTACCTCTGCCTTCCTCACTAGTTCTCCGCTCCACAAGTCAGACTTTTTCTCCTTCTGTAGAAATTTCTGCATTTCTCTCATTATGTGTATGATCCAATTTTCCCAACACACCCTGTTATGTTTTTGGTGTATATTTATCTCTTACATGTAATGAAACACTCGACCATTATGCTACCAACTGCTCTCAACATTTGATAAAGTTGCATAAATCATACAAGGATTGTTATAATGCTCATCGATCTAGCTTTTATAATTCCTCATTTCCAGTAGGAGCAAAAGGTCATTGTAACTGATGCAAATTAGAAAACAACGATTACCTGTAGAAAATGAACCCACACACTGCATGTGAAGCCACTTTCCTAATCATTCTCATATCTAAAGCAAATCATTTCTGCAGCTTTCAATGCAAGTCCCATAAATGAATAAATGACTAAGGAAAATCAGTCTAAATTCTTTTCATTTTTGACTGCCATTTGCAGTGGTATGATATTACAGTATACCCAATATGTGGAGTGCTGTGCAAAAACGTTTGCGTCAGCCGGGATTCAAACCTAGATCTCACTCCTTCCGGGGGCGTATGCCAGTCGTTGCACTATATGATCTGAAAGAGTGAGATCTGGGTTCGAATCCCGGCTGACGCAAACATTTTGCTTAGCACTCCACATATTGGGTATACTATGACTGAGGATATATTAGCAATACGCTTTCCCATGAACGACGCCAATACAGCGCCATGGTTAGGTAAGTCAACGTTCAAGTGCAAGAAATCTGGAAAAAACTTCCGTGCTACAATATAATCTAGTGAAGAGAATAATGACAATCAAACAAAATTCTTTTTTTCAAGTCCCGCCTGGTGCAATAGTTTTGTACATCACTCAACATCACTGAGAATACTGTCGCCTATAGATGATATACCGCTAACTTGATGCTTCATTGGATCCTTTTAGAGCGGTGGCAAAACGGGCGTTAGTGGTGCAGCGGATTGAAGCACGTGTCCCCCGGATAGGACAAATCGCGGATTCGAGTCCCGCGTGACGCGAAATTTTTAAGCATTGCTCAACATCTAGGTTATTTATAACATGATGCCACCGCTAGAAGCGGTTAAATTAGAACGAATTCTGTTGATTTTTTATTACCTAATATCTGTCAGCATGACTGGGTTTGATGTCAGTATGAACACCCAGACCAAAACGGCTGAAGCTTGGTTGCTGACAGATAGATGGCTGTAGAGTAGAAAGGTTGATGTTGAAACGGCCTTCGGTAGTGCAACGGGTTTGAGCACACGCCCTCAGACAGGATGGCTTACGGGTTCGAGTTCCAGCTGACGCAAAGATTTTGCATATCACTCAACATCACTGAGAATAATGACGCCTATAGGTGACATACCGCTCATTCGATGCTTCATGCAATGTTTATAGGTCTCGTTCGTCAGGAGAGTGTTGAGAATATTAACACTTACTCAACGGGACTACCGATATGAATTAAACACTGCGAAAATAATAGCTGCCATCAATATAAAACAACACGTCCCGACTTGTAGTGAAATTACATGATTCTCAAAATTGTTAAAATCTACAGACATTGCCCAGCAATATGAATCTCTTTTGCTTCACAATGGTCAGTCCTCATTTTTGGGAGCTTTTAACGTGTAATTCCCATTTTATTGCCTCAAGACTCGTTTTTCCGCAAGTAGACCCAAGAACAAGCGATAATGTCGTCTAATGTGACAGGATGTATTCCCTTTAAATTGTTCATATTTGCAATTGCCGCCCTTCAGGTTGTATTTTCAAGAACCTAAACTATAGCAATTCAAGGACTTTTCAATTTTACACTGATATGAAGCTGAGAAAGGTGCTATGTAATGACTATAAATGCAATTTACTACAAGGCAAAGTTTCTTATACAAATTCTCAAAGCTCCAAATTCTTCAATAATTGAATATAATCTGATGTTTCGCTAATATGACCGTCTCTGTATGATGAAAGATTGTAAAATATGTCCTAACGATAGAGACGGTGATTGTATGAGCGTAGGTACAGTTTACCTAATCTCCTGCAAAGCGTGCAGCGATAAATATATTGGCAAGACCGGTAGGTCGCTCTATCCTCGCATAGAAGAACACCTAGCTGACAAGCGTCACAATAGACGAAACACTCCGCTAGGTACCCATAGAATAATACAATACGACGGAGTTGATTTTGAGGTTGAAGTCACCATCTTTGCGCAAAAACAAAAAACATCAGTGCACAAATTCTGGAAGCACTTTGGATTAACACCACCAATCCGGCTGTAAACCGCAGGGAAGAATGACTCGTTATCACTTGTGATATGAGTCAGTAAATAAGACTGTTGTTTTTTGATGGGTAAGGTGCATAACGAGCCTATATGATCTCCTTCCGGTGATCTCCAGTTGAATTATTCAGTGGAGCACATATAAAAGCGGTGAGTATATTTAAGTTGATTTCGTGCTTGATGCGATTGAAATCTAGATCTGGTGCGTAATTCTAAAATAGTAAAGGAGGTGTTTGAATGATTGGATTGCAGACAATTTGACCTTTCCAGGCTCTGAAGTAGGTGAACTACCGAAACGTCAGCTGTTGAATGAATATAGAATTTGTATAACAACTTGTACTTGACATAAGGAAGAAAAATAGAATGCAATCCAATATAATTTTTTGAAAACCTTTCAGAGGTTTGTTTTTTAAAAACCTTTCAGAGGAACCTTGTTATGGTAACTCGAGTATGAGATGTACGTTCGGCTTTCTCGCAGCCTCATTAGCAGCACATTCTATTCGGCTGATTGCCTCTACCATTGTTGGAAATTGTCGCCGAAAAAGTTACACTCTGCGTCAAGTTTCTTTCAAAATGTGCTAGTTATTGAACACTGTCATCAAATAGCTCAAGGCCAGTTTTGGTGGACGAGTTCATTTCATTGGAAATAGAAGCACTCCCAGAGTTTTCTTTCAGAGAGCCAGGCAATTTGTAGATAATCGCAATTATTGTCAATTAACAGGTTCAAATATGAAATGGAAAATACTTGAACATTGAACGCCTAATTGGTCCGTCCAGAAGAGTAGTGTGGGCGCCATGAACGAAGATGGTAGACACAAACCACAAAATGTCTTCATTCTGTGTAGATGATCGTTCAGAGGAAGCTTCAGTCGAATAGGAATCCACTCCACAGTTCTGTTAGCTCACTTAATATATACTTTTCTCTATAACTCCCTTATCTATTTTTTACTTTTTGTGCATAACCTTTGGGGAAAACGCTGATTTCTCGCGCTATGGGAACAGAGATTGCGTGGCGAGCCCGGCGAGTTACAATGATATTGCAGTGGTTTTCTAATGAAATTTGAACTTCTACTGTCACTAAAGAGGGTTTAATCTTACTAAATGATGGAAACACGATAGAGATGACCTCAATAGGCTGTGGATCCAAAGTTAGTGCCAATGCTTCCTCTAAAACCACGGATTTTTGAAGGGGAAAACCGAATGCTCCCAAAAAGATCATGTCTCTTAAATTTTTCATGCGCTCTTGATAACATTTACTCATGTCTTTCATTTATTGTATCAGCAACAATTTGCATTTACAGTTACACTAAAGTGATAAATCGCCAAATAATCAACTACATAACTTTTTACATTATTGAAAATAAAAATTACGGCATGAAACTTCAATGTCTACATATACTCAATCCATTTAATACACAAAAGTCATTATAGTGCTCAGAAATCACAAATTTGAATTGGGTGAAAAAGATGTACAAACTTCCTCAATGACTATCACTAATTTTCCGATTGTTAGTGTAATTCAGGAGTTGAAACCTCCACAGATTTACGAAGAGACCTTATTCTATCGTAGATGAATCGTAACTTTTTATCACCCGTTTATTTTGCACTATAAACCAAACTTATCTTGGAGATTTTGATGATGGGCATATGCACCGATTTAACGCTCCTTTACCTAGTCCCTTTAGGTCGAATGTCCTGAAAACGATTTTCTGCACCTCGTACATATCGCCATCTCTCAAAGTAACTTAGCATGTATGCAGGCCCTTGTGGCAACCCATCAGTATGCCCTAGTTCTCGTTGTCCGCCCAACTACTTCTGATGGATATCCTCTTCTACTTATATCGAAAAGTCTTACGCATTAAAGGGTCAGCACTTTACAAACTATTGTAAATCTACTATCAGTAGAAATAGTAAGGAAAACTATACATACGCAAACACATTTTGTGTATAAATTTTTTATGCTGCAGAAACTTGGAAATTCCTGTTCAATAGCTTTTTGAGTACACTGAAAATTGGGGAGGCCGATAATGGAGACACAGCGCTATGGAAAAGCGATGCGCTCGTTACAGATGCTGGCTTTCGGGTGGTGACTCGAGCGATTAGAACGGTTATACTACGAAAATGAGAGGTAATCTCTAAGTGCGAAAAGATGGCGGTCGCTGAGATCACTGTCTTCTGATGAGCGACAAGCAGGTGCTCAAAGCGACGTAATGCTCACGTTGCAAGGAAACAGTCTACTTCAACGGAATATTTATGACCGCACTTACACCACCGTAAATCTGCCAAAACATTGGTGTACACAGGTACAGGTACAGTTCTTAGACTTAGTTTTGTTGAATAATGTAAAGCTACTAGTCGTGCTTATTGTGAAAAGAATTTTCTGAGGATAATTTTCTGAGTAAAAGGTCTCGAACATCAGAAATTTGTTAAATTGAATTATGCGCTTCCTTCAAAGACGTAGTTTACACTGCTCATGGTTCGACCACTTGACTTTCACGGTCTTCGGAGGTCCGCCTTCAGAAATTTTCTTCAGAAATCAAAAATTCAGAAGAAAAGAAATTTTTTACTAAAGAAAAATTCAGAAATGGTTGCAAAAGAACATTGCCACCCAAAATTTCATCCTACGCTTTTTTGACGAAGAGTGGTGTTCAAAGCTACGTAATGCTCAGATGCACAAAATCAGTCGACCTATTCTAGCTGTACATACCAAATTTTGGCAACTAAGTGTAAAACAAATAAATTTCTACCGTGATCAGAAGAATGATGAGAGGTAAAAAACGGTTTCACTTTCACAAGATAGGTGCCACCGCGCCGGTCATTGTAAAGGCTAGATAGGCATTCAATCACCTCAAAAAAAGGTCGAAAATTGAAGACGGATGCATGGCACATCCCTCGAGGATCAATCAACACCAACTGCTTTATCCTTCATCCTTTTCATCCTTCCTGCCATCCCCCCCCCCCCCTCCCCCTATCTGGTGGCTCTATGAGGTTCAAGTGCGTCCCATGTTTGTCAGTATTCATATGTGTAAATCTTCTCACTAGTTCTCCGCAGTTTTTGCGACAGCCAATAGTACAGTACTCAGTGGTTTCTGTGATCGAACACCCAAGAAATTCGATGGTTTGACCTTTTATTGATGGATTTTCTTCACGTGGAAACGTTATGAGAAAAATTGAAATTATCATCCGCAACCTTTAAACTGACTCTGCATAGATTAGTTGGTCTCAATCACATTTATGTATTTCTCAACTGTACAAAATCTCAATTGGTACTTTGGCACTTGATTGACCACTCTTTAGAGTGCTTTTTGCTGTGCGGATCCCAGTACTTCCAGCATTCAATTTGTTTTTTTGTTTTCTTCTCAAAAAGAATATTGGCTGAGGGCGCCTTCCTGCCACCTCGTGAACTGATTGTAACGCTCCTTAGGGCGTGCGCCATTGACTAACGAAAGTTTTGGAGACGCGATTTAGCCTGCGCGCTCCGCGACGAGCATCATAGCCCTTCGGCGATGTAGGCACACATTACATAATTAGCCTTGTATACTAAACCTCTTCAGCGCGTATACTAGTGGTTTATGAGTTGTTCACTAAGATGACCAATCCTTGCATTCCTTTGCGATCACTGACTTGTTGCCGGACTTGTGCGTGAGTCCAAATCTCGCCCCTTGAGGCCACTGTATAGGCAAAATATGCACTCAAATATCGACTGGTTGCCTAAGAGTCGAATATGCACAACGCATTCATAAGGGA